AAAAAAATTCACAATCATTTTATTCACATTTCATCATGAAAATTTAACTGTTGCTCTCTAGGACTAAAAGATCTCGATCAAAGCCAGGACTATGTCAGAGGAAAAATTGTCGAATACATGAACCACTTAATCAGTTTGGGAGTGGCTGGATTCCGAGTCGACGCTGCAAAACATATGTGGCCTGCCGATTTATCCGAAATGTTTGGAAGCGTTAACGATTTGAACACCGAGTTTTTCTCCGAAGGATCCAAACCACTTTTCTACCAAGAAGTAATTGATACTGGTAAGCAGTGCAAACTGTTCTATAACAGACATTTTTACTTTGCCTCGAACCATCACTAGGCAGTGACCCGATTGACAATAACGACTATACCGGATTTGGAAGAGTTTGTGAATTCAAGTACGGAGCAGACTTAGCGACTGCCTTCAGAGGTGGTAACCCATTGAAGTACCTGGAAAATTGGGGAACCGGCTGGGATCTTTTGGATGGTGGAAATACATTGGTCTTCGTAGATAATCACGATACTGAACGAAGCAATGGGGCCTATTTGAATTACAAAGAGGACAAAGCCTATAAGGCTGCCATTGCTTTTATGCTGGCCCATCCCTACGAAGGTCTTACCAAAATAATGTCTTCCTATAGCTTCGAATCGAGTGACCAGGGTAAAAAACTTATTAGAATTTGCAATATGTTTTTAATGACCGCTTTTGGAAATTGTAGCTCCTCCAGCTGATGGAGACGATATTCTCAGCCCAGGCTTCACAGAAGATGGAACGTGCACGAACGGCTGGATTTGCCAACATCGATGGTCACCAATCTTTAACATGGTGGAATTCAGAAGCGTGGTGTCTGGGACTGAACTGAATAACTGGACAGTTGATGGCGACAACCAAATAGCTTTTAGCAGAGGCGACAAAGGGCTGATAGCCATTTCCATTAACGGAGATTTCGAAGCCAATGTTCCAACTGCACTTTCTGATGGTGAATATTGCGACGTGATATCGGGAAGCTTCATGAACGGTGAATGCACAGGAAAAACTGTCAAAGTTAGTGGAGGAGAAGCTGAAATCCATATATCTTCAGAAGATACTGAAGCTGCTATTGCCATACATGCAAATGCAAAACTATGAGAGCACGCCGCAATGACTTGATGGATCTGTTTCCTTTAGAATTATAATGGTTGATCTCTGATAATGGCGACAAGATATAGACAATATTAGTTTGCGATTTTTGGTTACTTTGAAATAATTTTTGAATATAAGACACACGAAATAAAATGTGTTTTTATTTCAATTCAAAAACCGTTTGGTTCTATCATAATAAATGAATTTAAAAAATTATATGCGAATTTTTGTCTAAAAAAGAGGCAGATCAAACATGCGTAGACAGTTGATTAACGTTGAGAAACTGTTAAGGATCACAATATGAATATTCTGATGTGTTCAACCGAACTTGTAACCACAAGTACCTGACTTAAGGAGAACCTTAATTTCCAGACACTTCGTTTGGAGTGTTTGGTCTTTTTTCTATTTACACCAATGTAACTCTAATATAAAACACAATTATTTCTAATGTCAGCCCACTAAGAAGATGTCATTGCTTTAGAAAGCTTTGTTCGAGCAGTTAAACAAACCACAATTTAATTATGCATTTCATTTACCGAGGTACTAAATTCGAGAGCCAAAATTAAATCACAAAACTGCACTCCATATTTCATCCTATAACGTCTTCTCAAGCCTCAAACAGAATGGAAATTGATTAAATAAAAGCATTTTTTCTACCGGTGTATTAAAACTTTTAGTTGAAAATCATCGTCCATCAAGTCGTGTTCCACAATGAACTCTTAATGGGTTTGACCTTACGTCTACAAAAATGCTTCAAATAATTTGCACAATTTTATAAATATTATAATAGTACATGCGGGAAGTGCTTACTCTGTAATAGCCGACACATGTGAACATATATTTTAGAAAAAGATTGAATGATGTATATTTTTAATGGTTTTATGGCCGCCGGCTACGTTTCAACATCTTGACAAAAAGCGTTAAATAACGACTATACGTTTTTTTTATTCCTCCTATTTTTGGAAAAAGTATTATTTATGATGGATTATATCAGAGTACAAAAGTTCTTCATCAAGCTGCTTGTTGAAAATCAGACTTGTACTTTATAATTAGTGATAAATGCTGATTAATATCTCTATAAATCCGGGTTCAGCAAAAAAGAGACTAAAAAAAATAAGTAATGGGTAGATAGATACTTAAGGTTTAAAAACTCTGGGATGTCTTTGGCAATTTGTTATAGTTAGTCATCAATTTTTTTTCAAGTCTAGAAATATGAAACCGCGCGAGGCAATTAGCATTGCTTCTTTCGTATCTTGTCGTTATAAAGTTAAATTTAGTGAATTGTTCAAAAGCCTTTCAAATCCTGTATATACAGGCTAAACGTTTTTCGTTCTGATATGCGACATAAACATTTCTATAAAGTTTAACACTAATTAAGTAATTCGTTCAGTTAACTGGTTTGTTTCTTCCAACATGAATAATTCATTTCAAATATTTATTTATTCATTCTTCAATTACTCCTAGATGTTGATTTTAGTTATTGTTTGTATGTGATATTTATTTAATACTAACGAAGAATGTGCGCATTTTTTAAATTGGGGCGAGATTGGACTATTTAACGGTGAAGGTTAACTTCATGATTTGCAATCCCAATAATTGATCAAGTGCTATTTTTTATAGAAAAACAGTCGTGAATTGAGGCTGTTAAAGTTTCAAGACGATCCGTAGGATACATAGACTCTAATATTATTTTCTTATCCAAATCTATCTATAATTATCACAACTAAATTGCGGATTGCTGCTCTATAAACACACTCTATCTTCAGATTAAAAGAAATATCAGAGAAGAAACTTGTAATTTATAAAAAGGTATACTTCACATTCATAGATAATGAAAATATTTCCAGTGTTCTAAAACAATGTATTACGAATTGAGTTCCATCAGCAAATGACCGCTTTATTGCTATTTGTATGTTACTTTGGGCGGTTATTGGCATTTCGAAAGTACGAATATGAGGCAGCTTCCATTAATTATTGTTAACAGTAAATTCTAAACCAAAGAAGATTTTTCAAAAATAAATTTCTTGTCGCCACTACACTCCAAATAACGAAGGATATCTACTTCTTTTTTTATAAACTCAGACTGTGTTGCAAATTAGTGTAATATTTGCCGATTATTATGCGTTAGCTTAAGCACAGCTATTAACTGTTGATTGCTCACAAATAATGAAGTCGACTGTTAATTCCTATGAGACAACAACAAAGCAAATTATGGTAATAACCGAGTGCGATTTTTTCCACAATAGATCCTGTTACTCGCATTGTAATTTTCTGGTCTTGCAGTTAACGGATATGGTGCCAATTCTATTGAATTGGAAAATAAATTTCTCCTTTTCAGGGTACCTTCTCGTGATCTCCAATCGTGAGGAAATTATGACTTTTGCTGCTTTGCAGTTTCAAATATGAATTTTAGATTTGTTGGATGATTGCCACTAATTCAGCGTTTTTTAAAGACATCACGAAGAAAACGTTACTAATCGACTAATTTGACTTTCCTAGCTCTTTGTTAGGACTGGCAACCACATACATTATTTACGAGTTTTTATTTTTATTCAAGTAAATCAATGCACAAGCGACAAGTTTGCGGGTGATTTACTTTACGCTCGACTAGCTGATTCACGTTGCTAAATTAAATCTAACATCGCACTCGTGACTTGAGAAATATACTCTACTTATTGTGAGGCTCGTAATTTTTTAAGATGCGTCATGATTCGAGAATATGTCGCAAGCCATTTAAATTTTCACAGTAGTTTATTTGATGTTCTTCACGATATATGGATCAATATTAGTTTACGCTAGATTGTTGCTTGAGCTAGTCATTCGACCGTTTCAGTTGTTTGAGAAAACGTGCTTTCGTCCTTGATAGAAGAAGTTAACTGCATTCATCACACATCAATTACTTATGTTGTTATGGAAATGAAACCGACTAAAAATGATTGCAAAAATTTACCGAAAAATAAATGTGAGAGCAGTGTTATAAAAAAAGGATGAATTAATTTTAGAAGAGAAACTGTAAAAGCGATTTTATATCGTGCTTAAAGCTATACTCGCATTAAAAACAAGCATATTTACAGTTTTAATCAAAGTACGAAAAGAACACCGTCAGCTAATAAAAGCTCCCTGCACCAAAAACCAATTCGATATCTAACCGAAGTTTTAATCCCGCCAAAATGAAATTCAAAGCCTTGTCGGATTACGCTTAAAGGGACTTATGAAATTTATGTAAATCCACTCATCTCTTGGTCTCGGGACAACTTGAATTGTTCCGGAACTGAATAGCACTTGACCTACCCCTTGTTCCATATCATGCACGGGTGTGGATTTGTCCCTTTGATAGAGAGCACAAAGGGGAACTTCGCTTTAGATACATTGCAATCCTCTACACCATACTTCGTTTACGAAGAATATGTTCATATCGTTTTTTGTTCAAATCTATCGCGATTGGAACGAAATTTAACTTACAATCACTCATAAATGTTTCCCATTTCAACGTAAAACTTGAGCAAAATCTTCTAGACTAATCTGGATTGTTGCGTTGCTTTACGCAAGGGCTGTTTATAGTAAGACGTATTCACTTTCGTGTACAGCCATATGATAAAAACACATAATGATAACGGTTTTTAAATAACATATTTGGAGCCACATCAAAGCATTTGACGTTTCTTTGGATGAGCAGACGAGGACTGCAAAGACTAGCTTGCTTGAAACTGAGATTTGCAGATCAGAACAGTGTGATTTTGACTTCTGACTAAAATATATTTTGCAAGAACATTAGGCTATTACTCTCACAAGAGTGAGAGGTAAATCATGAAAAGATTTATATAAATAATAATTGTACATACTTTCCTGACTGTGTGGAATATATTTCTATGCCAGAAATATATGCCAAGGCTTAAAGTAGCAACAACGCTACACATAGAAACTGATGATGGTGGAAAACACCGAAACGTATTTCAATTGATAAATAGACAATAACTGACTGAAGCCCAGGAATTGATTTTGATTTGGAAATAAATAATACCAAGTCGTGTTCTTATATGTAATTTATTGTAAGAATGCTCAACCGGAATGTTTTGAAATGTAAGTGTTTTTGCCAATATTGCTCGCATTATTTAGCATTTATGAGTTTTGCAAGGTTTTTATATATTTGTTTACTAAAATAGTGTAAAATAAATTTAGCTCTTTAGGCACATAGTCTGTGCACATGTTCTCCAAATTAATTTAAAAACCGCTAATATCTCGTATTTTAGAGCTAAAATTCTAAATCTTTAATGTTTTTGATATTTTCTTTACTAAAGGAAATAGGCTTTTAAGGTTTCTAAATTTTTTCCCTTGACGCTTCCGAAATATAATAGTTCTAAAACATACAATATAAATTCGTTAATCCGGACAGATTGAGTTCGGGTCGCATACGAAATATCGATATTTCCGTTTTAGTGGAAAAGGAAAAAGTCAATATTCTTACCTATTAATTCAATTTGAATGAAGAATTTAGCGCATTATTTATTATGTGTTATTTATCAAAATAACAAAAATTTTTAAATTATGTATTTTAATATAGTTGATATTTTCCTTCAGTGGCATTTCCTTTGAGATGATATCCCTTCAGCTAATTAGTAGATGGTGGAAGAAGCGAAGCAGCTGTAAGGTCTTCACATTACTTGCTACAGATTATGATTCATGTAGGTAAATAAATCTACTGTTAAATCGTGATCGCATTGCAGAAAACCTCGATTACCAAATTCATTACCACAAAGCAGCCTCTGTTCGTATTCCCAAGATGTTCATTCAACATTCAACATAAGGCAGCATCACTATCAGATCAGTTAGATTCGATGCCATCAAAAGGAGCTTTTTCGCAAAATGTCCAAGTTACTCAATGTATAATTCGTGCGAGGTAAAGCCATTACAAAAGTTGACCTTAGTTCAAGATGAGAGACGGTTAAAGATGACTTCAGTGCCGGCAAGCAGAGTCTTGTTATTAGTAATAATTTATTGATTGGCGTTTCATCATTTCAGTATAATTGACTCTTTAAAGATATTGTTTCAATGGCGATGCCGAGAATTACGTCAGCCTCTGTAAGAACCCTACAGTTTACTTTTTAGGATGGGTCAACAGAAATTATAGAATATTAAAACAAAAACACTTTAGTAACGTTAATGTGAAAACTGTTTGAAATAAATTTTAGGCCTAACAATGGCGTAGGAAAAACTCTGATAACGATTTTGAAAATAACTTTCAATAGCTTTCCATTAATGTGGCAGAGAATCATATTTATCAATTTTTTTTCTTGTTAGCTACTATACTAAGTTAAGAAAAAACAATCATTTACAGTAGACAAATTGATCACTCACAAAACAAAATATATACAATCTATCTTTGATCTTAATGGCATAAATCATAAGACGTGCGAAGCTAGTCAAAATAAGATTAAGCCCAGATAGCTATAATATATGTTTTAACCTACTTGCTTGCAATAAAAGAGTTTTTAAAGGCGTGTCAAGATTTTGCATTTATTACGATATGCGACGATCGACGAAAAAAACTTCTACAACATGTGAAATTGTAGCCAATGCTAGAAGTCCTGTGAAATTATCAGAGTTTTACTAATCGAATAAACTTTGGCAATTACCAATTTTCAATACACGAAATATTACGTATGTTATATGGTAAATAAAGAACAACTGAAGTGCTTATAGTTGAAACAATTGTCTTTCTAACGTAAATAACTAATGTAAATAATTTGCAAACACCCTGCTCAATTGATATTTTTCAACATTAACCAATTACAAAAATTGCCAATATTCTTAATACATTCATATTTGATTTTGCTTCCATTCCACTATTTTCTTTACATGTTGCTCCAAAATTATGGGGTTCGGAAGCGTTATTTTGATTTTTGCTCAATTTAAATCATATGGCTAATTATACTCCCTTAAAACGCTTTATTTTTTACCGGTGATCTCCCGATCGATTGAGTTTAATTTAAACATTAAAAGCTTATACCTGGATGTTTATAACTGCAGCAGTTTTATATAATTTTTTTTCTAAATTTTGTTTTCTGATGGGTTTTCAGAATTTCAGAAATATAACGGTCAATTTTGAGGAGACATCGCTTTCTTAAAGTAACACCTGCTGATTCACGAAAAATCTATGTATTTAGATATGAAAAAATTGCATCTTCGATTTTTGTTGAAGGACAAAGTACTCGTAACTCCTGCAGCTCTTAATAGCTATCTCTACCAAAAGAAAGTATTTCTAGTAATAAATCTTTTCCCCCTTGAGTGCTAAATCTGCGAACGTTGCATATCTGATTGGATAGAGAAAAGCTGCTAACGGATAGTGCAAATCCCAGAACACACAATCTTTAAAAATAAAATAAATTATGTTACATATTAGAAAACTTATTATATTGTTGCTAATTTAATATCCTACTGGAACAATAAAGCGTTTTATCTTAGTGCGAGCACTTAATTGATTGGCCTATGTTGGTTCTTCAGTCTTTACAAAATGCCAGTGCAGATTTATGAATTTTGGGCGTGAAAGCTTGCGGATTTTACTTGGTTTGGAAAGTTAGTATCAGGAAATTATAAAACAATTTTTTGAAAATATTGCGTTTGTTGATCAACGCAATATATTGATAAAGAACTGATTCAAAAGCGTGAAAACGATATTTGAATATTATGAAACAGAATATCTGATGAATGACCTAAAAATTTCTAGGCTTTGATAACTACACTAAACAAAACGCGCAGGAAAAATGTATTTTTCAAATCGACGTGCAATGTTTTTGGAAAACAACATCTTTACAGCAAACGTTTCAAGCAATTATTTTTCTACTCTAAACGTTAATATACTTTTAGAATTTCAATGATTATGTTTATTAGATCAAATGTTATGTTATATTGCACAATTAATTTACTCGTCAAAACTAATAAAATATAAGACATTCAAATGAATTCAAAACCATCTTTGGGACTACTTAAAGGCACGTTTTCACATTTAAAACCAATTTAAAGTTTTTAAATATTCCTTCAAAAATATGTTTTAGTTGTTCCACTATTGAATGTTAAAAGTTGTAACTTTGACTAGCTTGGAAAAACTGATCATCTAAACCAACTTTTAGATATTCCTGAAAACAGTATCCAACCATTTTAATGTAAATTAATTCGCGAATATTTAAACTGAAATGAACGCGAGGACCATTTCAATACTCATATTTATATGTTTTACTTTTTTATTGTGCGTTTCCTAATTAAACGAATTTCGTACTTACTTCAGATATTTAAAAAGGTCTTGAAATAGAAAAGAAGAAAACAGACGCTTCAAAATATCCATTTAACTAACAAACACCGTATGGGTAACTAAATAATGTTATATTTGTTTATTTGAAATAGAAAATAATTGCCGAATATAAAATTAGGTTATTCCTTTAAATTGTCCTGATGCATTTGGAGGAAACGCATAAAATAGTGCTTGTAAATTTACTAAAATTGATAAAGTTGAGACGCGCATGAAATATGAGCGAAAATCATTTTAACTACCCGTTACGAAAAAAAAATTTTGAAATGAAATAATTCTCTTAAAACTATTTGGCGCAGCAAAGTCTTGTCAACTTTTGAATCTTCCATAATTCATGCTCAGCTTCAGAATTTTGGGTAAAAACTGTGGATTGCCTCACAGTACCTTTTTAATAGGAACCGGAAATAGAAAAAGGTTTACCTTCCGTTAACACAAAAACTAATTGATACAAAAATTGCAAAATATAAAATCCAACAAATATTTCTGTGTTCTTCTTCATGAGCATGAAAATAACTACCTACGACATTGATAAGTTGAACAATTTACTAAAAAGACTAAACTAAAGACAGTAGGGTTTGGATCATCTTGTATAATTCGATCATATATTTTCATTACAGTCAATCTGTTGAAAGATTTATTTGCTTTCATTCAAATTAATTATGCAAAATTAAATATCAATTCCATTTAAGACAATAATTTATTTCCCAAACAAAACCCATTACTGCCCTGGACAGAATCTAAATTCGGTATGCTTGAATAATGTAACTAGACACATAACAGTGAAGTAACCATAATATACTGCAATAAATAAAATGATTTCAAGAAGAAGAAGACTAATAGAACGCTACACCGAGCTGCGAGTTGGGCAAATAAGTTATTTCGCCATTAAATTTATATTTTTTTCGTGCATGCATCTTTAATGGTAGCGTGGTTTATCTGTCTCACCAACTTGATTCTTGATGAAGACCATGATAAATCGGAAAATATATGGTAACCTATAACGCGGTTCTGATTTAATAACCTAGATTACAAATTGAAGAATGTGAAGCCACTATTCAGCAGTTGAAGATTTCAAGACCGCATCATTTTGCAATTTTTCAAATAATTTCAGCCAAATGACTTCGATTGAACTAATGCAAATAAATTTAGTTTTTTCTGACCATTTTAAGATCCGTTTATTGTTGTAGGAAGGTCCAACCGAGGCTTCATGAATAAAGTTATAAACTGCATTAACTAAACATAATTAGATTTTTAGATTTTAGATTTAGATTTAGAAAGGCGAGTAAAGAATTTGAACGCCTGAATATTTTTTTATGAATTAAGTAACTTCCTTTGTAGAAGACTACATATACCGAATTGACTTTTGTGTGACGATTTCAATCAATTACTGCTAACTGCTACGAGAAATACCTAACAGAAAACTATAAACTGTCTTCTATCAAATTCTTCTTTTAAGATATATTAATAAGATATATTAATTAGGCAAACAAATTATCATAAAAGAAGAATCCAAGAAATGATACAAATAAAAAATCATGCAAAAGCAGTAAATTTTAGATCAGATACCGACAACCTTAGCAACATTTACCAAACCCTAATAAAGCCATAAGTATGGAACACCCAGTACACTGGTGAAAAATTAAAAGTATTTCTGCTTATCTCAATACATACATAGCACTCTCGCAAATGTAGAAAATAATTCAGACAAATTTAAGGTTTCAAGAAAGCAAAAATCTAAAAGAACGTTGATTTTTACCAATCATGAGGTAAGTTTTTCCAGTGCTATGCTCTCCCAAAAAGAAGGATTTTTTTCCTTCAAAAACTGATCAATGTTTTAACAGTTCATAAGTTATAGTTTTTATACAACATGTTTTAATTGTGAATTGATGTTTGTAGTTTGTGTAAATTTGAAATCTGATGATAGCGCTGTTGTCTCGCCGAAACGTAATGAAATAAACGATGTTCAAAATTTTTACTTCACCCTTGGACTGAGACCCAGGAGAGATAAGAATATCATAATAACCATTAACTGAAGTCCCGAACGAAATAGTAAGCAGTTTGAAAAATAATTTGCCCATTATGGGCTCATTGCATTACAACAAATACAATTTCATATACGAAAGATATTGATTTTTCGTCTATGATAAAGCACGAACGCCTCTTTGCTAGCGGGGGCGGTCCACAGGCGAACCAGTTGCCGCCTCTATTTTGTCTTCGATCGACCGAAACTTCACAGAAGAAAAACCCATAGAGGTCAACTTGAGCCAGATATTTCACGTTTTCTCTTCGGGAATTTTCGTCCCGCTAACAAATCGCTTGTTGTAGTAAATGGAATGTTTCTGTAGCTATTTCTGTTTGGAGACAACATGTCGGCTGTGTATATGAGTTACAGTGTCAAAAAAAACAATACACATTAGAGCCAGCTATATTTGAAAATTGCTCAATCAGAGCCGCTGCCTGATTGGCCACTTAAACAACCAACAAAAAATTATTATTAGATTCCTCCTTCCAATGTAAAGTGCTTTCACAGTTTAGTGATTTTCAAATGTGCAGCTAGAGATTGAAGCAACATTGGCCTAGAACTCATCAATATGCCACTAGATCTAGTATAAGAAGCAATTCAGATATTAATGACAAGGTGAAAGATTGTTCACCTATTATTCTCCAAATTGGAAGCTTTTCTTTGTGAAGGCGCTTAACACGATCAGCCTACGTCTAACACTACCCATTTTGACGATAATGAAAGTCAATAATACGTCTGAGATTAATGGAACATTTAATGATGCTTCGCAAAAAATGAACCAACAAAGGCCTTGGAAGAATCACGAAATTAACAAATCGATTCAAATGAAACATAGTAAAATGTTTTTGATTTTAATTGATATTTTTGTTCCTAAAGCTACAACATACGTGATGGCTGCAAACAATGAAAAAATCTGAATACTGAATATGGTTTACTTATGGAAAAATAACTTTCAGCTAACTACTTTCGGCATTGCCAGTGATACTCGTATAAAAGCGAAGCCAGTAGAGAACTGTACATAGAGTTCTTCTTCTCTGTACTCAAAGTTCAATCGGAGTGACAGAACCAACAAAAACAAAAGGAAAAGTTGTTTTCAAGAATGGCCGACTGAATACGTGAAGAAAAAACTCGAAATATTGCTTAG